AACCACCATGGTGCCACTTAAAAGATATCGGGGCGTTGGACGTCCTGTAGAGCCAAACCAAACACAAACACAATTCAACCAGGAGCATCAAGCCCATAGTGCGCGTGCCTGACTCGTTCCCACACAAACAAGGTCTACAGAACCTTCCCTTGTCGCTTCTGTTGCCAGCCAACAATAGCAATGAAAAGCTTTGTCAGGCTGTCGGGCCTTTTAATGCAGACCTTTGCCAAGCTTTCTGGGGCTCAATCTGTTTTCATTGAGCCAATGCTCATTATTGTCTTTCATTGTCCTCTTTATCTCATTGATATACAGTGTAGGGTGGCGGGGTGGCTCTGATGTCTTTTGAATGGGATGAAGCTGACCTGATATACAAAAGTGACCTCTGTCCACCAGCACTATGAATATGGAAATCAAATGAGATTGAGAGATAAAGAGAGACACATTGCATCCAAACATGTGTGTGTTTGCACCTTTGCATGAACCTTGCACACATGTATAGCCGGATGATAAATGACAACATTGTGCAGGGGATAAAAGTCACAGGGGATAACTGAAACCGTCTATCCATTTGCATGTGTTGTCTGTATGCTAGTCGCATAGAGATGAAAATAAGTGTGGTATTGCTAAGATTCATATGGAGTCTGGATGAATGGTGGGAACAGGACTGTCTGCCAGCATTCAGGGATGTGTTCATCATCTCTGAGGCGTTGATGGGCCTTAATGCAGAATAAGGAGAGCCAATCAACTCCTATCTATCCACTCTGCCAGGGTGACACATTGTAGGGGTACTTCAAGGCCAGCGCACTGCCACATTCTGCTGACAAATCATTACATTAGACATGTAGACGGAGAAGGAAGATAATAAGATTGAGTTACAGAGTTGCAGATGCATGATGAGCACCTATTGCTTCCTTGATTCCTTCCATTTTCACTATTCCCTCCATTTATCAATTACTAGCTTGGTTGACACTTGCCTCTTCAAAATAATGCAAAGGGAGAATCTGAACTGGGCTGAGTTGTGAAGTGTTTTATTTTCATCTTGTATGAAGTGCTACAAGACCAGTTAAAACAGAGCCACAGTTATCAGAGCCTCTCATCACAGTAGAGTGCATGCATGCAGAAGAGTGTTGTGGCGCTGCCAGGTATGGTCCTGTATCATTGTTTCAAGGTTGGACTGTATATTGGTGCCTACAAAAATGTTTTTTAAACTGATAACAATGCTCAGTAAATAAGAAGAAACATGGGATATCAAACCAACAAAATGTTTACTAACTTTGTTACAAAATGGAGTAATGATATCTAATTACTGATAGTGGTCAAGTGTCAATAAAGGTAACAGTAGTAGGTTGATCATTAGCTACTCAGCATTTACATTTTTTAAATTAAATTAAACCTAAACCTGTTTGGCAAAGCCTATTTTATGGTTGTAATTGTGCAGTGAAAAAGCAACAGGTGACACTAACCAATCATAAGGAGCACACTAATACACCATTTAACTGTGGCTAATCAAAGGCTATGTGTAAGGATGCGTGGAAGGGTAGGACCCAAATGCAGACTATCAGAAAAGGTAAACGGTCTTGAAACAAAAACGAGCTTTATTCTTAAAGCTTAACAATAGCAAGGCATGAAACACATAGGTTCTACAGAAAACTGACCGTGACCAACATGGTGGGAGACAAGAGAAACAAACAATGAACCGACCGGGGAACACAGGAAGAGACAAGACTAAATACAGAGAGGGGTAATCACAAGACGAGACACAGCTGGGGTAAGGGAGGCAGAAACACAAGGGCAACAGGTGAACACAATCAAACAATCAGACACACCAGGGAAACTAAGACAGGAAGGCAAACACAGGAAGAAGGAACAGAGAAGACACGAGGAAAACATTTCAAAACAAAACAGGAAACCAGAAAAAGACAAGACAAAACACAACACAGACAGATCGTGACACTATGTAGATGTCATCCCCTTTATTGAAATGCATTTCCTTCTTTCTTTTCACGTATTTATTTTTCATCCATGTTATGTGTTTACTTTCATGTTAAGCCCACTCCTTCTAACATTAGCAAGACATCGAATGCATTTCCTTTTATTATTGCCCAAGCCTTGAAGACCCATCTTCCTACTCTGTGTGTGTGTGTGTGCTGTTGTCCATGTGGATAAATGGTGATTGGCGTGTGGCTGGAAGTGGGTGGTGTAGAGTGATTAATCAGCATAATGAGTGTAGATGAGCTCTGTGCAGATGGAGCCCACACTCAGGACTGTGTCACCCAGCAGGAGATCTCTTTGCTTCCCTCCAGTGCCTCTGGAAAGCTCTAACTGTATTTCTTAGGCATGTGTGGCTTGCTTCCTTGTTTAATTTGAGAGCTCATTCCTGTATAATTTTGTTCTATAATCATATGTGTCTTATTTCAAGTTCTTTATAAGGTTGTCCAAGTATACTTTCAGTAAAATGTTCTTATGGAAAAATATATTTTGCCAAATGGTACCTCACTGTTGTGTGTATACCAGTATTCGAGAAATGCCTATTCTGTTGTAAAAGGCTAGGAACAAATTGCACTGTCCATCAAGCACAAAAACAATAGTTGCATTTTTGCCAGGGAAGCAAAAGCCTCCCTAGCAACTGTGTGGCACAAGAAGTCTAATTAAAGATCAATTTATTTAAAGCAAACCATTTGTGAAAACTAGCTAGCTCTTACTGAAAATGCTGAAAATGTGCTTCAAAAAGGAGAACCACTCATGTGATGAAATGATAACCAATTTGTTTGATGGACTAGTGGATATACTCTCCAAGTGGCCAGGCTTATTGCTCCCAGCACCACCAACACTACACACCATATGGCATGATAGCCAAATACAACCCATTTACTGTGTATGGGTTCAAACTGATATTAAAAAGTGAAGTGTTAAACCATGTGAATGTAACAATTACCATTTCAATTATTCATGTGTTTTAATAATCATTAAAGGAGAAATGCATCGTTTACACTCAAGCAACATACTCAAAATAAATATTCCAACATCATTAAATATTAGTGGGAGCAAAAGTGTAGGTGTATAATAATCACTAAAGAAAAAAAACGTAATCAGAGCTTATTAGGCAATGCTTAGGAATATACGAGGAATATTTGAGTACAACATGATGAATGTAAATGGAAAACACTCTTCAAGCACACAAAGGAGGGTACACTGACAGTAAACTGTAAGTAAATAAAACATTTTGCTGTCCTAATTGTCCAGTCCAGGCTTTACTGTGAGTCTAGCATCATTATCCAACCAGTAGCGACACACTTGCCAGATGTGGGCTCCTTCTGCACCGATAAGTTAACTCAGTGGGTCCCCTCGCCTCCCCCAGGACTCTGTGACATTAGCTCGGCACCCAGATGCTTGTGCTGACTCACACACATGCTCTCATGAGCCTTGTTGAGCCTTCCTCTTTTTTTAGCAGCCTCATTGTCCTGCTTCACATTTATTAAAGAGGGAAATGGAAGAGGTCATCGGGACAACAGAAACCCTTACAAAAAGGCACTTGCATTTGGAAAAAAACATCATGTTTGGTCACTTATCCCTGACCATTTAACACATCCCAAACACACTAATGATGCACATGGAGTTTTGTTAACAAGTGAACAAAAGGAACTTGAGGGTTACAGCCGTATCATAGTAACTGCACCAAAATATTTGATTGAGAACAGATGGTGAAGTATTTGTCTCGTATTGGGTCTATTTGTACTATTCAAGTGCAAGCTGTTGAGTACTGACACCAGATTATTGTTGGTATCTTGGTCAAGGAAAGATTATTGTTACCCGTATGTTGGTGTGTGGAGTTGTTATTTTCCTTCTAAGCAAACCAGACTGTAAACCTGCCCATCCATGTGTGTGCTGCTGTGTTCAATGAGGTCCTGGTAGGGATGCCCTATAGCTGGCAGATATACACCATATATTTTATTCTGTGCTACGAAGAAGCTGAAGGTGAAAAGGTCAACACCTTAACTTCCTTTACAAAGCAGAGGGGGGTCTGATATTTCACAACTAGATATACTTATTGCCAGATTGCTAGCTTATTAAAGGTTCAAATAATATCCTAGCTCTTTAGATAGGCCACATCTTAATATATATATTGCCTCACCAACTTTTACTAGTGTTTGGGATCCAATCAGCGGAGAGAAAGTAAGACTTACTCCTGTGAAAGCGTTGGTTGATAAGCCATGTGGGAAAGGAACTATCTACTACAATACAGTAATGTCTGTATCTATCATATTTATTTTTATAAACATAGGAAAGAACCCTGGACTTAAATTGTAGCTAAACTTGAATCATGTTGCTGGTTGGAAAACAAATGACTTTTCCTGCACACACACTTATTCCAAACCATTATTGCTTTACATACAACAAATATTCCAAGTGTTTTTTCCTGAAATGTACACCTCCTACATCTGAAACAAAACAGAAACACTAGACAACAGCACTGCTTTGGTGCTCAACACAAAGACATTGCAGGATATACAAGTGCAAGTGAGGCTTGCACAATGCATCTTCACCTCAGATGCCTCTGCCCTGCCTTCAAGTAATGCTTTCTGAGACAAGAAAAACATAAATTAAAAGCGAGCAAAACAAGTAGCCTTTAGGAAGCTCATCAATTATTGTAAAATACAAAGGCAAGGGGAAAGGAGGGTGGAGTAGGGAAGACTTTGCCAAGCCTTGTCCTTCATTATCCATTATAAGAAGATGAATGGGGGGTCTCTGTGGTCCACATGAGAATGAGCGGACAGACTGGTGCCAAAAACAGACCATACTAAATGTAAAATGGGTTCACCAATCTGTCCGCCAGACACAAAAATTACAAAATGATATTTTAATTTGAACGTCTATAGAATATCTCTCTACACCCTTCTCTCTCTCTCAGTCACTCACACACAAGCGCACACGTTTTTCAGAGGGTAAAAATAAGTGTGTGGGTGAAAAAACGAACACACCACATTGAACATCAGTCTTACCTGGATGAGTGATTCGCTCAGTCTTTCCTCGTCTACCTCCAGCACAATGTCCCGGATCTCTTCATAAGGCAGGCGGAACGAGCCCAAGAAAATTGCTGTTGTGATGGAAAGAGAAGAGAGTCATTTCCTCCCCTTTTTTTTTTATTATTGGACCTCGGGGTTCAAAGAGACATTTCAGCACTCATCGCTCCTCAGACAAAATGACCACAGACCAAACGTGTCACTAGGGAAAACGAATACACTGTCTGGCTCACAACAGGATAGTTTGTGTCACCCTGACATAAAAAAGGAAGTAAGACATCAAGTCCATAAACAAAAGTCATACAAAGTTAACCGTGAATCATAATAATCACGACAGTAAGTCAAAAATATATAGTTGAATGTGGTAGCTGTAATGGTGTCATCAGGGGGGGCTACATGGGGTTTTTTGGGTGGATACAATGGAAAACACTGAAATTGCCTCAGGGGACAACCTGGTGGGTGTTTCACTCTCCAGGTGGGGTGCCTACAGTAGAAATTGGAGCTGATGGTGTATCCAGGTGGAAGTCACAGGTGGAGGTTTGGTAATGAGTTGGAGGAGACTCTCTCAACAGCTGCTATGCTGCTGCAGTGGGACCTGATGTCTGTATTTGACGCGCAACAAACTGAGAGGTTTTTTTTTTGTCAAAGACTATTTACAGCATTTACTTCGTACATTGTCATGGCATATCACAAATATTGCTTGTCAGGTGCAATTTATACGTTTATTTATTGAACATTAACATGTACGGCTTGACTGTGTCATGGTGACTCAGAGCTGTAGAATTAAATATACAGTTATTCTATCTAGACTGAGGTTTGTCTTTGTCTGTTGGTAATATACATGTATACTCAATCTTCTCTCCTCATTAGCGTGAGTGATAGGCTGCATTTATATCAAATGGATCATGTCATACTTGTTTGTAGTCTAAACGTTATACAATTTAAAATATGTCCTCTCCATATGAAACCAACAGCTGGATACAAGACTCTCTTAGGGGAGGGTTGTCAAAAGTAATGGTGGGAAATATTGTAAATTACAAATTGGAGTAGATACAGATGGGATAAGGGAGGCAGGTAAGCTAAGTTAAGTGACTGCCTGACAATTCAACCATCTAGCATTTCAACCTGTTGTATGCTCTCTTGATGATGGGTGTGGTCTCCCATGCCACGGTTATGTTCTGGCTGCAGACTAACCTAACTGTGCCAAGATGAGCAAAGTGGTGCAGGTGGAGTTGTGTCAATGTAGTTTTGTATAATACTATCAGAACAAGCTGCAAATCCACTCGCCAAGTCTGTTCTTAGGCCCCGCTCACACGGGACCGTTTGCGTTTATGCACAGTATGCGTATTCAAAAAAGTCTTCCGTTCACATGCATTTGTTTCATTTAACGTGTCTGTTTAAACGAGGCCGCTGGAAACGCTGTAGTACATATGCTGGGACTGTAAGTGGCGCTGTAACTTCCGCCAAAATACACCAAAAGCCGCGAAGAAGAGCAGCCTGGAGCAGCCCCGCAGCAATGTTGCCATGGCTACCCTTCTGTTTAAGCCCTGAAACTGAAACTGAAAGAAACTGAAAGAAACCGAATCTGTTGTTGCTGATGGTTGTGGTAGAGGAGCTGTATATTTTTGCACTAATATCTGTAGCATGGTCAGTAGCAGTAGCACTAGCAGTAGCTACTGACAGGAGGAAGTCAGTGTGTGTGGCGATTGCTGGTATTCAGCGGGATATAGTCATTTCCTCAGCATATGGATAAATGCAACGGGGAAGTTAACTGAAAGAAACCAAGAAGCACGTCTCTGTGGATATTGCATCGAGAGGACGGCTCAGAAAGAGAGATATTCTCTACAAACACCGGGTGAGATGCACCTTTGTCAATATAATGGATCAATGCATGAAATCTGACTCTGTTTATTTTGTTTAAGGAGTATATTGGGCGTTAACAATTCTGGTTTGCCTTTTATAATATTATTTCATTCAAGAACCCCTTGTGCGTTTAATTAACACAGCTATTTTTGATGGTTGCTACAGCAGTGAGCAGGAGAGGTGCTATTTTTTTTTTTTTTTCGCTATTTTTTCAGGAAATATTCGTATAGAGGTGATTACACGGACTCGGTTGACCCCCCAGAGCGTTTCGTTTGCAAATCTATCCACCTTGGGACCCGTTATCGTTTGTGGGGTCAGTTTCTATCGGCCTCGTGTAAATAATAGGGCTATACGCACGCGAAACTATGCAGATACAAGCAGTTTTCTCCTCGTGTAAACGGCGCCTTAGATGTTATATCTAAGGCTTAAGTAAGGAGGGGGGTCACCGAAAGGCAGTGCATGGTAAAGGTGTTGAGAAAGTTCATATTCATTATCTTATTCTAAACGTATACATGTTGCAACAGTTCAAGCCTGAAGTCAAATACATATAGATTACATGAAAATGTTAACTGCTAATGTCCTTATACTGAAACCTGTCTCTGTTCAGGGTGTAGCCACAAGTTAGATGCTAACCTGCATCTCAATGCAAAATATGCAGGTATGTTTTTAGATAGACAGCCATAGAGAATGATAGGATATGTAGACAATGTATCAGATAGTATGCATAACCATTATATCACAATACATCAAGTGGTGATGGCATCACAATCCTTCACTTTGTCCTGCTACCCATCCCGGTTACTGAACCTTCAATAGCAACACACATCAAACTTGAAAAGGGAGCTCAGACGGTTATGCGGCAGGCAGAGAATGTGATCTATGATGCTTCAGTGTGTGTCAGGGCGACCCGGGGGAGCTGTGTTTCTGTACGACCACATGCCTTCCACCCATTGCCATGCTGGAGGTGAGATTTTCTACACTTATTTTTTGCTTCCTGCCAAACTCAGAGCCCATCTGCTGGTGCTGTAATCAAAGATGGCAGTGACACCTATCAACATTGTCACAGCGCATACACAAGTGCAATGACATGCGCACACTGGCACACATGCTCACATGCACACACATACACACAGACACAAACACACACGCTTGTATGTGGCATCCTTATGTTCATGCCACATGCCCCTTCCTAATATGAGACCTCATATCTTTGTCTGATGAACTCATTAATCTGACCTCTCTCCAATAAAAAAACGCAATAATATGAAGTCATTGCAAGATATTTAGAGCACCGAACAGAAAGGGAACTGGTTGGGAGAAACATGTTAGTGTGCATTGTTTGTGATGTTAGTCAATCCCTGGGTTTATTTTGTTATTCTGCCTTGCTTTGACTCCTCATACACAGCCTATAGGAATGTATACTAAATATAAACTAAAAATATACTCATCCCAGTCTCCAGTAAACAAGAAAGGTAATAAAAACATGGATGAACAAAGAGGTTGGAGTAATGGTTGCAACCATAGTAACATTAGACACACATATTTCATCAAATGTGTTATTTTCTAAATTGTAACTCTAAAGTAAGGGACATCAAGGTTGTAGATGCCAAATAAATGTAGTTAGGGAAACAATAATACATGTTTTACCATCCAACCAAAACAAGGCTGATATCAGGCAATGTTTTAGACACATTTTAGATGATTTTTTATTTTCATAGAGAAATGAACTGCAGATGTTATTGAAACCCACAGGTAGAAAGAATGTGTATATAATTTGTATCAAACCTGAACAGAATAATCATTTTGTCCACCAAATCAAAACAAAGGAGGGTTTTGAGAGTGAGGGAAAAAATGTAAACCAGTATAGACTAAACATTTAGTCCACTGAAGCTCCTGGGGATTCGAACACCAACAGTGTCAGTGCTCCGTCCTAATAGGAATTTGTTTTACACATGATTACAGACAGGGAGCTTGGAAACAATATATGTGCACTTTTGGTGACCGCTAAACCACTGCCAAGAAAACATTTCCCCAAAGGGCTCAGTAAAACAGTATCACTGCTGAGGGCTCTCTGCTGTGTGTTTCCCACAAACACCTTTCTTGAGCAATTCATGGGGGTATAAAAAGCCTGGGGTGTCATGGAAAATAACACTGACATTTCTGTCACAAAAGGTCATGGTTAAAAAGAATATAGAACGTTATGAACTCATGATGTTCAACCTGTGGTTATGTTGGTTATACTCTTTGAATCAACTGTATATACTCACAGAGATTCTGAGCTGTTTTGGCATCCAGGATGCGAAGCTCTTTTGCCTTTTTCTTGAAATGTTGCATTCGGTCATCAGTCTCATCTTTCACGTCTTTCTTCACTGAAAGAAAAACAATATTTGCAAAATTAAAGTCAACATTTTTTTAAATGAAATGCAATATAAAACTACTGTACATCATGTTTTTTAATCAAAATGATACATTGACTGCTTTCAGCCCTGAAGAGAAGAAATAATATAATTATATTAAAAAATGTCAACATCCCACAACAAAGTGAAATAAATAATTTACATACATTAGAATGCAAATACATGTGTGCATATTAAAGCGAAAGCTGACAGGAAACGATGGGTGAGACAGCAACAGATGGTATAAACCAATTAAAAACTATAGTATCCGTAGCGGAAAACTTTAGCAGGTTCTATAATACTCTACAAGGTAGATGCCCGCTGAGTTGCTATTTAGAAGGTGTTATTTCAAAGATATAAACCTCTATTGATAGTGTATACCAAATTGCTAAAATAAGATTATTGGCAACATTATATGTTGTTATATTATTTAAGTCCAGTCTTGTTTCCTTCAGGCCACACCTTTGGTATAACGTTGTTTGTTTGAGGCAGATGTGACTGATGAAAGCACATTAGGATGAAAATGCATAATGTGCACTATCATCAGCTGTAGCATCAGATAAGTCATGCAGATGACTTCACCCTCTTTGTTTGTTTGTGTGTGCCAACATGTGTGTCATTGTGACAGAGGGTAGATGGTTGATAAGCACAGTTCCTTCCCTTAGGCCCTGTCTGTCAACTCGCTAGAGCCAAGGAGATAATTGTGTTACCCCCCCGCTATCCAAGAAAATGGCATTAACTCTCTGTTACTGAACACAATAGACAAATTAGTCCAAGCATGAAGAGACCTTTGTTGTATAATGGAGACATCATTGAGGCCACATGTCAGTGTGTATTACTCTTCATTTACACTTTAACATCAAGCTCTGAATACATAGGTGCCCATGTACAGGAATTGCAGTAATGAGGAGGGATACATCAGACCGAGGAAGAAGCAGTCTGAGAAAGAAGCTCCTCGCCTCCCCATGCCTTATGGGAGAGGCAGCACACTTTGTTGCTAATCATCACAACTGCTCTGTTTAAGCCCAAGATGGGAGTCTCCCAGGACATCTCGAACAAACAATCTGCTCCCCTAGCGCTGGCTCGCATATTTGAAGAAACAATCAAAGAGGCAACATCTCCTGGGCTGCCAGAAGAAGCAATGCTGAAGGCACCTGCCTAACTCCAGTGCTTTCTGTCAACACATGGCATCAGGGATGCAGTTGTTTACTGTATTAAGTGGGGCTAAAAAGGGTTCAAGTACATACCAATACTACATAAAGTATTATGGTTTGATTTTCTGTCAACATCCAAGGGTGTTTCTCAGAGGATGACAAGACTCTGCACTCTAGCTGCAAGTCTACTTGGACCACAACTCAGAATGTGCTGTATCACCTTCATCCTCAGTTGAGCACATGGATGCACATAAGCAAATGGTATGAACTTGTATTTGTGTAAACAGGAGCAGGGTGACTTTGGGGAAGGTGGATGGTGGGATTAATAATATACACATATGTATAGGTAGAGAAATGTAATACATGTGTTTTGAACTGAAGTGCCATTATAAGATAAATGCACATTTGTATTTGTAACTCAGTGGAGGGAAGAGGGGGTGAAAGTAATACAACATTGCAGTCAACACACATTGGTCATGTAATGTCAATGCTATCATCTGCTTTCAAATGAAAACATAGAAACCCAAATTGTAGGGTTAGGCTTTGTTGTCGCTTTTGATTGTACAAGACTGGCAGAGGTATTTCCATGCATCAGTGTCGGCACACAAAAACATTTCAAGGAAGTAAGACAGCAAAAACATATCAAAAACTCCCATGAATAAATCCAATGATAACAAGAGTAGAGCCACACTATACTGACTAACATAGAGCGAGAGACCAGTGAGGCCCAAGGTATCATGCTGGATTTGTGATGTGGCAAGAGCCCTGGACAAAGAAACTGGAGAGCCAGCAAAAATAAAACATGAGGGAAAATGATCCCCCTTAGAGAATGGCCCACAGACAGAGGGCAAATTATACTGAGAGGGAAAACTTGGCTGCTTTTGGTATTGAATTGTTCTATTAAACCTCCATTATTTTTTCTCTGGTACCACTTGAATCTCTCACCTAGTTACCTTACACTCTCAGCAGGGTGCTCTCAGCCTATTCGTCAGTACATATGCTGTGTTCGTCTCCCAGGGTCCCATGCTATCTCAAATGAAACAGCAAAACAGTGCCTTTTATAATATGAGACAGGCACATTATTTTCTGATGCCATCCTATACAGCTTAGAGATCTCCCGCTAGGCAATGAGTATTGGCATCAGTTTGCTGATTTCTGCGACAGTATGTGCTGGCTGACTCAATTATGCCACATGTCACATGTTTCCTCTGAGCGCTGCATGTGGACTGGAGGGCTTGCACACATTCAAGCTGCCTCACAAGTCAGGGTCCCAGGTGGGGGAGAGAGGATGACTATATGTGGCATATTTCAACAGATGGCTAGCCATAACAATAAAGCAAGTTTTATAAGTGTCTCCAAAACACAGAGGTTGTTACTAAAATCACACCCTCCACTTGGCATAATAGTTGTGTATCGTTAAATACAAACAAGGTTGACATGATCCATTTAGTTTGTGTTTTTATTTTGGAGAGAATTGTACTTTTAGAATGCACACCATCTGATAGTACGTGTTTCTGCCAAGAGAGCTTAACCTGTCCAACAGTGTAGCTGATCAACATCTTTGCCAACATGTAAACGTGTTGTATGAGTTGCCCAGTGGCTATAATGTAATACTCTGACAACAAAGCCAGCCCTCTTTCACAGATGTATATTTGTTAATGGAATCTCCTAAATAATTAGTCAGTAAACAGCCATGTGTGATGGGTACAATGGTGGAGATTTGTTTAGTTTTTTCTTGGTAGCTCACTGGTTTCCTTTAAACAAGTTAGATCGATACAAAGGGGTAATAAAATCCTTATACTATAAGCCAATAACAGCAGCACAATCATTTATTGATTAAATGGGATAAGGCGAGGGTTCAGAATAATAATGGGTTTTTAACTGAACAAAACAGTCTATGAAACACTGGCCGTCTAAGATTTGGACCGACTGTATTATTCCAAGCTCAACTTTAGCATCACTGATTCTTGGGCCAGATGGGACTCTAAGGGAAATACTAGGGTCAAATACTTATTGACTTTACATCAGCCATGCAAGATTGAGAAGACAAATGTAACAATGAATTATGAATACTTAATATATCACAATGATTTATTGTAATGTATTATCGTGCAAGGGTGAAGAGGTTTGAAAAAGAATGTCAGGGAGGAAGTGTTTCACAATCAGGCTTTAAAAAAAAACACATGAAAGATACACTGGAACCAACATAGCACCATGAAGAGAAGTCTCTGCTGAGTGAAACTGTTACACATTACATTAGCTGAGGGGGAGTTAAAGCTTGCCTCCTGCCAAAAGGAGTCACCAAATTGATAGAGGTTCCATTGAAAAGATACATCAATGTTTGAGCAAAACAGATTTGGCTTATTAAAAATGACTTGGCATCCATGTTAAGCCTTCTCTGTGGGCCTTGGACTGAGGTATACCCTTGGGAAGAACTGTGATAACAAGAGTTCTCCAACACTTGGACATCCAGTCTGTTTGCTGGCCCAGAATCACTATGCTGGTTTCCTTCCATGCGATATCTCCCTCAAGACGTCCATAAAACCCACGGCATTACCAAGCTAAACACTACCACATGTTCACTTCCGGACACAGACTATTCGGCTGTGCTGTGCCACCAGACACCAGAAAATGAGCGGGCCTTGAAGAGAAATAAAAGCAACTGCAGATGACAGGTCTTCAACAAACATATTTAAAGGCAAAGGAACACAGAGTGGAACAGACAATGTGGAGTCTGGTCCACTACGAGGCAATTTATTTCCTCAAATGTGCAATCTGCCTGCCAACATGTGCCCTGTCCTCCATCCCAGGGACGCATACTGAGGATTGAGTTGCTGGAGAGCTGCCAGACTGTCTGAAGGAGATGGATTCAGAGGAAGAGTCATTGGACTCATTCATGGCTTATCCACGGAAATAGCAATTTCACACAAGTGTTAAATAGATAAGCACATGCACCATTATAGTTTGTTATCTCTACCATGTTATTCATAGACAAAAACAGATAACCATGAGTGGAAATGCAAAGTATTACGGTAATAGGGGCAAACATAGTGAAAAGGTGATAGTGAATGCCTTACTGGCAAGAAGTCCCTGCCCCAGTTATAGCTGGAATAATGAGAGAGACCTTCAAATATAGAGAGCACACTCAAGATCTGAACGTACCATTTGACCAGTGAAATCCAGCTGTGACCAATTTCTCCCACTGACGAAGGCTAAACAGAGGTCTCTTTCTCAAGCCAAAAGCCACTTTGCTGTTTGGAAACACACCTCCCTCTCCCATCCTCCCACTGTCTTGGATCTCAAAAGCATGCTCCCACTTGCAAAAAGGCAATTATGTTTCCATTGATTCAGAAACTTGGAATTATTTACTTTACTCTATGCTTGGATAAAACTACATTGTGTATACGAAAACATAATAGAAAAAGCATACAAATGCAGTATGAATGAGACATAACGTAGGCTGGGACAACAAGTGCCTGATAATAACACATGGTTTCTCGTTAGCAATAAAAGCCCAAAGTTATTAGCGTGAACATGTTGTGTCTTCCTTCGTCAGGTTTTAACTAGTTTGTTTCAGCAATACTCCTCGGCTCAAGGTGAACCATTACATTTGAGCTGCAGTTTGGGGGGGGTGGCTCCCAACCATGCAATCATCATCATGCCTAATGATAACAGGGAGTGGGGGAAATGGCTGATAATTATAATGAGGATGGAAATTGTGGATAGTGTGTTATGTTTGAGTGCATGCACGCTCAATTGTGACAAACGATACGCACACACCCATTCAACTGGGCATGAGTATGTGAGTTTTAAAGTGGC